TAATATTAATTAAACAATATGATTTCTCCTTTAATATATTATTCTCATAATATATTAATAAATCATATTTAATCCTTTCTCTCCATAATTCATCCTATCAAGTTGCTTTGGTGAAGGCAACCCAAAAGGACCATGCACCATCGGGTCAAGTACATACCAAAATGGTTATGGACTTAGACACTAATCCAACACAATCATCATAAATCAAAAATCAGGAAACAACAAATGGAAAGAGAGAATGATTATAATCCATGTCTCAGTCCATATGATATCTAGAATTGAGGAATATATGATCCCTTATCTAATGGACAAGTCATTGACAAGGTCAGAGTTCGACATCGGCTTTAAGAGCTACGATTGCCAGTTAGGTTTTGAAGTCATACTCAATAATAGTTTTAGACTTATCCAAGTGGGAGACTGTTGGATTAATGTCTAAGTCCATAACTATATTTGGTATGTACTTGACCCGACCCGGCATGGTCCATTTGGGTTGCACTTCACCGACACAATTTATATGGATAGTCTTTTGAGAATAGTATATTTATGATTTATATTAATATATTATAAGTTCTAATATATTAATATGGAATCATATTATTTAATTAGTATTGATCAAGAATTAATTTAGAATTAATTAAGTGATCAAAAAGAACTAATTAAATATGGACTCTTATATATATGGAATGGGCCAAGTTCATTTAGGTTGGGCTAAGCTTTCATGGATGGTCCATGGAGCTTTTAACCCATGGATCCTATGTAAATGAAAGGTCATGGGTATTAGGGTTTACATGGATGTAACCCTAATCCTCCATAATATATAAAGGGGTCCTTAGCTCACAAAATTGGCACAAGTGTGTGAAAATAAGAGTGGGCTGATTTTAGTGTGCATACATATTCTCTCAAGTTCTTCCAAGGTGTTTTGGTGATTTGTGATTCCATTTAAGGCTTCCACACTATTGGGGCTAAGCTCTTAAAGCTTGAAGACATCAAGCTACATCAAAAGGTATGTCATCTAACTAGAACTTTGTAGTATAGGTGCTTCATAATATGCTAGTTAGGATGAAACTTTGGAATAGTTAATATTTGCATGTATAATAGAGAAAACATAGATCCAAGGTTTATAGGGTTGCATGTACAACATAAGAGTGTTAGAATGCTCAAAACCCAACAGGTGTATATGATACACTTCGGGCTATACAAGTAGTGTCGCGAAATCTTTAAGGCGAAAATTATAGCTCCCAATTCTAATTCATGGGTGGTGTAATTATTCTCGTGAGTCTTAATTTGGCATGAAGCATATGTGATCACTTTGTCTCTCTGCATAAATACACATCCCATGCCCTGGTGTGATGCGTTGCAATAGATGACAAAGTCTTTGGTTCCTTCCGGAAGTGAAAGAATTGGCGCACTACACAACATGTGTTTCTATTTCTGAAACGCAAATTCTTTCTTTTCTTTCCATTCGAAATTTGTGTCCTTCAGCATAAGTGTTGTGAGAGGTTTGGCTATTTTTGAGAAATTCTCTATAAATCTCCTATAGTGTCATGTCAATCCTAGAAATTAAAGCACCTCAGTTGGTGTTATGGTTGCTTCCCAATTCTTTATTTCCTTGATCTTGGATGGGTCCACGTGAATGCCTTTATTGCTAACTACGTGTCCTAGAAAATGTACTTCCCTGATCTAAAATTCACACTTTGAGAATTTTGTGTACAATTTCTCTCTTCTTAACTACTCCAAAATGATTCGAAGATGTTGTATTCTTCCTCTGTTCGTTAGTATATCAATATGTCATCGATAAACATGATCAAAAATATATCCAAGTAAGGTTTACAGACACGGTTCATTAGATCCATGAAGATTGCGGGAGCGTTGGTTAAACCGAAAGGCATAACTAGAAACTCGTAATGGGCGTAGCGAGTCCTAAATATCACCTTTGGGATGTCTTCCTCTTGTACTCGAAATTGATGGTAACCTGACCTTAAATCAATTTTTGAGTAGAAGTTGGATCCTTGTAGTTGATCGAATAGTTCATTAATCATTGGGAGTGGATATCTATTCTTGATCGTCAGTTTATTCAACTTCCGATAAGCGATGAACATTCTGAAGGTTTCATCCTTCTTCTTGACGAATAACATCGGGGTTCCCTGAGGTGAAAATCTTGGTCTTATACTGCCTTTATCCAAAAGCTCTTAAACTTTTCCAGACAGCTCTTGGATTTCCAAAGGGGCTAATCGGTAAGGATATTTTGCTACTGGTGCTGCCCCTGCAACTAGGTCAATTCAGAATTCGACCTTACGAATTGGCGGTAGTTCGGGCAAGTCCTCCGGAAATACATTGGGAAAATCACATACTTGGGGTATGTCTTTAATTTCCTTCTTCTCGACCCTTTTATCTACGATGTGGGCTAAGAAAGCGTGATATTTCTTGTGAATGTATTTATGTGCCTTCAAGCAAGAGATAATTCTAAGGTTATTTATTGGCTTGTCTCCATAGATCACCAAGGATTCGTCGTTGGGTAAAGGTAATCATAATGCCTTGTCGTAGTATAAGATTTCAGCTCGGTGTAGCAATAACCTATCAATACCAATTATGACATCAAAACTTTTGATGATCATTGGCATGAGGTTGACGTGAAAGGTGTGGTTGTTGAGAGTTAGAAAGGCAGTTTTCTAGTATTTATTGAGTACTACTAGATTCTCCGTTAGCCATTTCTACTATATAAGGCTCATCTAGGTTCCTAGACTTATGGTTTAAAAGTTATCTAAACTTAGGTGTAATAAAGCTTCTTTCAACACCAGAATCAAAGAGTATAGATGCATATAAAGCGTTAATAGGAAATGAACCTGTCACAACGGTGGGGTCCTACATGGCATCCCTTGCGTCAATCAGAAACTCTCTTCCCCGGACTTTTCCTCCATCATTCCTCAACTTCGCTCAGTTCCTCTTGATATGTCCAGTAATCCGACACTCAAAACAAGCTCGATTATCTGGCACATCAGCCACCCCTGGGTTAGTTGTGGCGGCAGGTGCGACCGCAGGCTGTCTGTAGTACTTGATGGTGTGTCCCCTTCGATTGCACCTGGTACAATGCATGCAGTTTCCATAGTGGTGGAAGTGGAACAAATTGCATTTTGGTTGTATATCCGCGTACTATCCTTGAGGTGTTGGGTCTGGACTGACGACATATGCCCTGATAGTTTCCTTTTTCTTGCTTGGATGTTGTTTGGAGGTACCCTTAAATCCGCTTCTGGATTTGTGCTTGTTTTCTCCTGACTTCGAGATGTTAGCTATTTGGACCGAAGTGCCTCGTCTTATCTCTTAGTTGGTTATGTTGTATGCTAACCTCTTGGCACTGTCGTACGTCGTTGGTCGAGATGTCATGCCCAACCCTTGGATGGGTTGAACTAATACCCACATGTATCTATCAACCTTCTTTTACTATAGATTCACGAAGCTTGGACAAAGGGTTTCAAGATCATTGAACCTATTTGTATAGGTCGAGATTTCAGCGTTGTTCATTTTCAGGTTCCACAACTCTTTCTCCAATCGTTGTATTTCCTCCCAAGAATAGTATACCTCGATGAGCATTTGCTTAAGTTTCTCCCAAGATAAGGCATTAGCATTGGCGAGGCCCATGGTCTTGACGTGGCTTTTCCATAAATACACGGTCGTATCTACAAAAGTGCAAACGAAAAATTTCACCTTGCATCCCTCAGCAGAAGAACTGATTTCGAAAACAGACTCAGTCTTTTCGATCCATCTTGTGAGGCCTACGACTCCTTCGTTCCCATAGAACATTTTAGGCTTGCAGTTTATAAAGTCCTTGTAGGCGCATGCTCTTGGAGCACCTTGATTTTTTCCTTGGGAGGTTTCGCCTCCCGCTCCTATCTTAGAGTTTGTGTGGTGATTGTTTTCAAGTGTTGCTAGAGCATCAACTATTTGCTGCTCAACCATGGCTTCAATGGCCACGTGGTCCATAGGTGGGTTACTCTGAGCAGACTTGGGATATTACTCTGCTTGGAGACTTTGGTTGGATCTGGTGAGTCTTGGGGGTGCCATTTCTTAATTCCTAAAGTTAGTGTTGACACATGATTTATTCGATCAGATTTATAAGGTAACGTCCTCGTTGATATGGTTATGTCGTGGTGTGTTAATGTTAGTGTTAAATGAATCAGTAGAGTAATAACACAACAACATAGATTTCATTCAACCATATAAGTATAATATGCATCATAATATCATACAATGTGACCACCAAAAAGGGGTGGTTAGAGTAAGAAAAGCTATGAGGTTACAAAATAAACAAGTACGTTTAGCAAGCCTTTCTAGTACACTATCCCAAAAGTATAAATGTGTCTATCCTAGCCATCGTGCTAGAGAAAAGCGTAATATCCACAGTACACAATCAAAAGATCCATCAATTGAACTAGTTGTCTATAAACATAATTTATCAAACATCCGAAAATTAAATCCTTGAATCTTCCCTTTCTACCCGAAGCTCCAAACTATCAGTGTGACTGATCACTCCCTCCAACATGTGAAGATGAAACTGAGCCTCATCACTCACTTCCTGTAATTGGTCCTAAGTATGTAGGATCCTTATCTTCATCACATCCCTCTCCTGCTTAAGATACTGTACCCGCTCTGTTAGTTGCATCAGGGCCATCCCCAAAAGAAAGAGCTCGGAGTCTATCGCTCCTATACGATCTAAGTAATGGGCAGATCTAAGTAATGGGCAGTCTGTGGTACAAGGAAGAAGATATCCTGCTCGACTAGAGTGTCTCGGGTAGGGTTAGGTGCGGTAGAGGACTCCCCCACCACGAAGCATGAGCCGATATCCTCCTCCTTCCTCCAAGCTCTAATATGGGGCATCTAGGTGTAGATCTCACATAGTTTTTTCGTTAATGGTGGTGATGTTGGTGGGGATGCTGCTCTCTTCTGAGAGGGGATATCAGTAGTCTTTCTTTGGGGTTGTTTCACCTGAGTACCAGTAGTGTGTGCTATGAAATATCGATGCGAAGGAGTGGGCAGGGTGGTGAGATCTCCAATGAGGTGGCAATATACTCCTCATCCTCATCTGACTCATAATCTAAGCTGAGAAGCTCAAGTCCAGCTAGTGTGTAAACTGATGGATAAACAGGATCGGAAGGGTATGAGTTGAAGTGATCTGCTGGCGTGTATTCGGGCTCGAACGGGTGCTCAGTTGGAGTATAGCCAGGCTCGGTGTCATCATTGTCCTCTGTAGGCTCCTCCTCATAAGCCACGATCATCGTTGGGATGTTCGTAGGGTCAGAAGCACCATTAACTGCATGCTCCTTTGCTGGTAGGGAAGTTTCACTCCACGATCCTGCGCCTTCCACACTCTCTGTAACACCGTAAATTTTCAGACAAATTTTTCATTTTAGAACAACATGATTCTCAATATCACATTCCAAAACCACATATTGTCAAATTGTCAAAAACGCAAATTCATAAATTGTTTGATAAAATCCAGGATCCACAAAACATAAACTCCATCTCGTTTGTGTACACTCAAGTCGACGCCTTCCCGCGATCCTGAGAAGTACCTGAAAACACATATCACATAACACGGTAAGCACAAAGCTTAGTGAGTTCACCAAAATACCACACACATCTCATTAGACTCTCATGGCTATATCTCAAATAAGACCCTCTGGTCAATGTGTCTCAGTGGAATCCTCCGGTACCACAATTCGGGTGGACCTTCCGGTCCTAACTCAGTAAAGCTCAGAATAATACACAACATAAATCGCAAAGACATAATACATGACATCACAATACTCAATAGTAGCATACACGACCCTCCGGTCACACAAATTACCATTGAAGGTAAGTATAGTGAGAAGACTCACCTCGTAAGCAAGCAAATAAATCTCGTACACGAATCACCGATCTAGCCTTCGCCTAACACACACAAAAATTATCTCTAATTAACACTTAAATCAAAACTCTAAGTAAACCAATATATTTTCTCTCTTTAATCTCTTGGGATGGGTAAAAGACCATTTTACCCCTCTGTGGTCTCCATAATCTCTAACTTGACCAAACCCTATAGTCAACAGAAGTCAACACTCGAGTCAACAGTCCATGTTGACCCGACTCGTTGAGTGCACCTATGTGACTCGTCGAGTCCCCTTGTTTCATCAGAAGTGTCGCGAAAGTACCCCTTAGCTCGTCGAGTTGTCTCATCAACTCGCCGAGTCACACGTGTCTAGACTCGTCGGGGAAAACCCTAACCGACTCGTCGAGTCCTTTCAGACTCTATTCTCATTCAGACGTTTTAAGGCAAATTTACAACCCCAAACTCTAGATCTAGCCTCCCAAGGCTGAGATACCACGTAACGCTACAAGCATTACGTCCATGCGTGGCACTTAGGGCTTGAAATACCAAAACCACTACTATTTAGGATCATAAGCATAAAATCTCATTTATAGCTGGATAAAGTTGGGACCTTTGGACTCTAGGGACCTCACAAGGTCCAGATCTGAAGTCTCAATCTCTTGGTAATCTCAACACACTCAAAACGTCAAGAAAATATGGAAAAAGCCCTAAAGCTCCATAAAAGTGAGATCTAATTGAAATAGTGAACAAGGGGGAGACTTTTTTCCCTTCAACAGAAGCTATAGATGAAATAAAACCAGATCCAACAATCCCTTCTCGTTTCTTTCTTTCATATTCCTCTCTTCTCTTCAAATAGTGCACTAAAATGCCCAAAGATTAGCTCTCTTTCTCTCTTAGCTCAATATAGACGATTAGGGTTTCACACAGGGGAGTAAGGTGGCTGGTGAGGCAGAAATGAGGGCTTAAGGTCCTTTAAATAGGGCCCAACCCTAGAGATTTAGAGTTTCCTTTCACAGCGCCAACTTGTCGAGTTGGCTCTCCAACTCTTCGAGTTGGTCTAAAACCCACACGACCAAAACTCTTCTCTACTCGACGAGTTGCTCAATGAAAATCATAAAAATATTATACCTAGGAATTGGGATGTTACACTCTCATGCAAACCTGCATAAGACATCAAACATGAAATATGTTTATGAGAGATGTGAAGATCAATTAAATACAATATATTATCCAATTTTAAGTATGTAAAAGATAGTACTCGTAACTCCTGAGTCTCCCTACTATGTTGTAAGTCATGAATAGTGGCTCCTAAGCCAGAAATCCTTGAGTGTATATGTCGTTAAGCCAAAAATTCTCAGATGTAGAAGTCCCTAAAAGAAATCTCCAAGTATAGAATCATTTTTTATGCATCCAATCCTGGAGTACTTAAACTTTTAGATTGCCAACCACCGTATCCGAGTTTGGTCGTGCGTCGGTCGGTCCATAATAAAACTTAGTTGCACATTCCAAGTCTGGTTGTGGTATGGCCGTTGTACTATACCAACTCTACACATGGTTTTTGACCAATAATCTTGAGTTGTGATTTCGTGGATTTGTGTTTGTGGGTAGTAGATATATTTTTGTGAGCATATTTTTATTGCTTTATATATTTAAATCTTTGTTGGGTTGTAACATCCCATAAATTTCAACAAATTTAAACTTTTCAAAACAACCAATTTATTATTAGAAGTGTTACAAAACCATTTTTTTCGAACATTATTTAAAATCAGAGTCTCCCAACGTCCAATCAGTTGTAAAAGCAGGGATGTGTACGGTCATGCCTTCGCCCTGCCACGATCATCTGAAGCACCTGAAACAATAAACTAAAATTGTCAGAACAGAGCTTAGCTAGTTCCCCCAAGGTACCATCACACAAACATATAACATTTACAAACAAGCATGCTCAAATACTCATGCCTACCCCAATCAGCCTTAGGCTGGAATACCAGTCATCTCTACGATGGGCCAAGTCATCCTCGGGATGGAATACCCTTGTGTCATAAGCAGTTTGGTCCAATCAACCATCAGGTTGGAATACCAAACATGTCGGGTCCAATCAACCATCGGGTTGGAATCACCGAAGCCTATTGAATGATGCACAAAGGAGTCCCGTCTCACCATATACCATACAATCATATCGGGTCCAATCAACCATTAGGTTGGAATACCCCAGGCCTAATCAACCATCGGGTTGGAATGCCAATATAGAACGGGTCTTGTCATCGACGAGATGGAATACCCTCGGGCCCAATCAACCATTGGGTTGGAATGCCCCAGTTATGTTGGCTCACGCACATAGCAGTAAAACCTCAACCACCACCAACATATAATAGTCAACAGACAATCAGGCATATCTACAGATCACTAAGCATAACATTATCATATATACCAGGATACCAATCTAACATATCACTACAGCACGATAACATACTATTACATAACAGGATATTAAATCCAAAGAGCCGGCCTTGGTGCCTTCGACCCGCAAGTATAGTGAGGAAAAATCACCTTGCAAACCGAACAACAACTGATGAGGTCCCGACTCCGAATCTCAGCTCCAACCGACACCTATCCATCCAATATACCAAATTATACAATACCATCCAAAAGACCAATTATCAAATACCAACCAAAATACCAACCAAAATACCAATTCCCAAATGCCAACCAAAAACCAAAAATGTCCCTTGTTTAAAATTAGTCAAAGTCAACAGTCCATGTTAACCCAACACGTTGTGTTGCCCCTTCGCCACGCCGAGTTCTGCCAACATCCAAACAGTCGGGAAAATCCCAGCCAACACGTCGTGTTGGCTTAGAAACACGTCGTGTTTGCTGAAGTTCCAACAACTTAATACCTTAAGTTGTTTTCCTCGATTCCAAGAGCTCCAAAGCTCAGATCTAGTCCAAAACGTGATCCAGAAGGATACAGTTTCCAACTTTATCCATTGGGACATCCCAAAAAGGTCAAAACTCAATCCATAAAGCTTAATAATGCAAGGGCATAACCAATAAGCACTTAATCCTTAAAGTCCGAAGTCCATCATTTCAAGAATTGATTCTAACGCCAAAACCATCCCAAAGATTAGTGCTTTATAGACATACATGTCTGATCCATGTCTTGTACTCATATTAGGTAAAAATGAGGATTTATGACCTAACCTCTATGCATGACGTCAAAACTTGATTATAATACACATCCAAGACACTACTAAATCACCTTGACCTGGAGATTCATAAAGTTGCAAACTTTATGAGAAAATCGAGTCATGGACACTTACAAAGGTCCAGAAGATTGCCATGGTGAAGTATAGGGACTTACTTGTGTAACACTAGTCAAAATAGGTCAATAGACAATCACATGTGATTATACCAATCATGTAATGTGATTTTGTTAAACTAGTAATGTGATAAGAGTGATATGTAGTCATGATAAATTCTAATACAAATATGAACTTTCTTTCTGATACAACTCAAAGTATACGTCCATACAATTCCAAAAATATAGAGAATGTCTGAATTTGACTTCGCATGAAGAAGTTATCATAAACCGAACACTATAAATCTCTATAATAAGAGGAATTTAAAATAGACTTAGAATTAGCTATTGGAGTCTAAAAGAGAGTTATAGTACTTGTAAATACCTACATGTGCATATAAAGAATGTCAAAAACGGAGTTTGTATGTGAGAGATACGACCTTCCGAAGATTCAGCTGTCATAAACCCTAATCTGACTGAGTTCACGACGTGAGCACAGAACTCACGACGTGAGGAGTTAGTTATCCACATCTCGGAATCTAGAAGGTATGTGATGAGGCTGCGAGGGGATAAGATCCAAACTCACGACGTGAGCAAGGATATCTCAGGACGTGATGAGTCACATGCCCACCTTCCGAAGCTAGGGACGCAAATGGCAAGTCTATGGGGATAAGATCCAAACTCACGATGTGAGACTATAAAACTCACGACGTGAGAGTCCAAAATCCTTACTATAAATAGCAGGTCCGACTTCAGCTATTCTTACACCTGAACTTCTTTATCCTCTCTCCTTTGCTGAAGCCATCTTGCATCCCGAGCCCCGACGACCTCGTACGCTGATCGTTTCTGCTTAGATTACATAAAATCACGCTACTAGGGTGAGTTTCACGACCCCACTTTCTAATATTTCAGGGGAAACGCATGCTAAATATTATATATATGTTATTATTATATCTATATGATAGTATATTAGCATCAACGTAGATAGTTATAATAAACGGGATATAGTTATTTCGTATTTGAAAGTATAGAACTATCGTAAAGTTGTTAGCATGTTATTGTTATAGTAGTATACTAATGTAGTGTAACGCCCCGATTCTCAGGTATTGTCTAAATAAGATTTATTGGGTGAAGCTCTACTCGACGAGTCGGTTGACCTACTCGTCGAGTAGCAGCGGGGTGGGATCGCGTGTTAAGTGACCTACTCGACGAGTCCATATTGGGACTCGGCGAGTAGGAGCTGGCAGATGAAACCCTAAATCCTGGGGTTTGCACCTCTATTTAAAGGAGCCTCAGCCTCCTTTGGCCTCTTTGCAGTCTTTGAGAGCTCCTTAAAACCCTAATACGCGTGTGTGTGTGTGCCCATTGTGTGTTTGAAGCTTGAAAAGAGGATCTTTGGAGGAAGAAGGCTTGGAGAAGAAGGAGATTGGAGCAAGTAGAGTCTGGGAATCAACACTTATCTCAGTTATCATCTTCTGGAGGTAACCAAATCGCCTTTTTCCTTGTGAATCTCTTATATTGGTTGAGTTTTAGGGTTTTTTGGTGAGATATTAAGTTGGAAAGATGAGCTATGGGCTAGATCTGAGGTTGTGACTTCAGATCTGGACCCTCCTTGGATTCTAGAAGCATAAAGTTACAATATTGGTCATGATTGAGGTCCCTCTTGAGCATGAAGCTCCATTAAGAACTTAAAATAGGCATTTAGAGCCTTTATAGCCATGCATGCATGTAAAATTTGCAACTTTACGTGATAAGCATGCCCTAGAAGCTTGGATCTGTGATTTGGAGCCGCTGCATGGCTCAAAGCAAGTCTGTATGGAAAAAGGACTGAATGGACTCGGCGAGTCGCAGGGTTGACTCGGCGACTCACATGAAGATAGCCGTGAACTCGACGAGTTGGATGAACAACTCGGTGAGTCCGATGAAGATTACCATAAGACTCGACGAGTGGATGAACAACTCGGCGAGTCGGATGAGTTTTCCTTAGGATATGTATGCGTGTGTATCCGTCGAGTTGCGAGGAGGGAACTCGACGGGTGGCCTTAAAGTTTGATCGAGAATCGAAGGAACTCGACGAGTCTCCTTCGATGACTCGGCGAGTTGGAATGTGCTTCAAGGAACTCGGCGAGTAGCCGAGGGTACTCGGCGAGTTGGGGTCAACATGGACTGTTGACCTTGACTGAGGACTTTGACTTTGACCAGGGGTTGACTGGTGGGTTATGGAGT